TGTTAAGTCTATTAAAACTAGATATTTTTTTATAACAACGCAAACCGCGCAATTTGTGTTATGTAATTAGTTTTTTTCTTGGATGGTAAACCGTGACATTTGACTTTGTGTTATGTAATTATTATTTTTTTCAGGTATATACACGTCGTATCGTCATATAATGTATACCCATATAACACAAGACGTCCTTAAGATTATCCTGACAATATCCAAGACGGCTCAATACATTTACAGGACATTTACAGGATATTTTAAGATATTATTATACACGTATTTTATGAAACCTTACTGCATACATACTTACTTTTAATTATATAAAAAATTTAATGTAATTTAGAATTTTTATGTACTATAAAAAATATAAATGTCCGATGGATAACCACTGGATGTCTAGACGATATCTACTTTGTATATTATCTATATTACCCCGATAGCCAAATAATAGCAGTATGCCAGCAGTATGCACGCAGATTTAATTCAACACTTTGCAGCAGATTCAACTCAGCTGTGTCATCAGAGTAAGTGAATTATGTTATTAAACACGATACGTAAGAAAACAACACAACAAAAATAAAGAAATAAAAAAAGAATAAAATGACAATAGCACGTTATGCTTCAAATTTGCTACATTTTCTGAGCAAGTTCTGCTTGATTGATGCAATAATATTTGTATCACGGCATGATATATTTATATTATTTTTTTCTGTTTTTCTGTCGACTCTAGTTGAAATAATAGATTACAATTTTGGACCTTCCTCAGTGTAATAATTGTTACATCTAATGGAAATAATATAGAATTAGCGCAAAAAAACACTTCAATAAAATTAAAAAAATAACAAATTAATAAAACTCACTCAAATAATTTAACACATCGCTTCAATATAACAAAATAATGTCAATCAAACATGACAATGTAATACAAATATTGTGTACTGACAAGAAAACTAACAACAAGCATATATATAAAGATATCCCCACTATATGATCCGGAGATCACAAGTTCACAATAGGTCGAAAAACAAGTTTACAAAAGTAACAGTCTAAACATTTGGTTTATATAATTCTAGAAAAGAAAAATAAGGTTTCAAAACTGTCGGTATCCGAGATTACATTTAACGGATTGTCCTGCAACTTAATGTGGAGCATTTCAGAAACTAATCTGTTATAAAAAAACTTCTCAGTGTCCAAAATTTTAACGTCATTCCAATTAAAGTCATGACCAGTCTCTAAACGATACTCCGTAACCACAGAAACAACAGCTGAATTTCTTGTTCTTCTCTTCAGCTTAAATTATTTGAGTGAGTTTTATTAATTTGTTATTTTTTTAATTTTATTGAAGTGTTTTTTTGCGCTAATTCTATATTATTTCCATTAGATGTAACAATTATTACACTGAGGAAGGTCCAAAATTGTGGACTGAAACGTTTGTTTTTTTGTCTTTTTGAATAAAGACTTTTGTTTATACGCTGTCATCCTGTACTTTATTGCTCATATCGGCCTATTAATTAATTTGAACTTTTCACGAGCGATTGTTTGATTTTAATCAGCACTTTGCAGCAGATTTCACTCAGCTGTGTCATAATAGTAAGTGAATTATGTAGGCACGATACGTAAAGAAAACAACACAGCAAAAATATAGAAATAAATGAAGAATAAAATGACAATAGCACGTTATGCTTCAAATTTGCTAAATTTTTTGAGCAAGTTCTGCTTGATTGATGCAATAATATTTGTATCACGGCATAACATATTTATATTCTTTTTTTTCTGTCGACACTAGTTGCAATAACAGATTATTTTTAAATGCTGGCTACACTGTACTGGCATAATCTATTATTGCAGACTTTGCAAAATATGCTCATTCAGTCTTGATTATCTGAATAATTATATATAATTACTCTACATATTTCACTCACTATGATGACACAGCTAAGTGGAATCTGCTGCAAAGTGTTGATTAAACCTGCGTGCATACTGCTGGTATACTGCTATCACTTGGCTATCAAGGAATATTACAGGGTGCGCCATCTCAATCTGGTCGATGAAAGTATTGAATAACTTAGAGAATTTTCAACAGATTTCACAAAGTCGTATTTTTTTATTAAATTTGATTCATCACAATTTATTTTGATTAGTTTCCAAAAACCACATCGATCAAATGTCCGC